TTTCCGCCATTTTGTGGGCGTGGCAGTGGGCCGATTTACCCATCTTCGAACTTAACCTTCCTATGGAGCCTAGAAMTATGTGTACCAAGTTTCATCATGATATCTCAATTCTTACTCAAGTTACAGCTTGCACGGACGGACGGACAGACAGACATCCGGATTTCACCCTGATCACTTTGATATATATAACCCTATATCTGATTCTTTTAGTTTTAGGACTTACAAACAACCGTTACGTGAACAAACCTATAATACTCTCTTTAGCAACTTTGTTGCGAGAGTATAAAAATTACTAAAAAACGTTAACTTCGTGAATTGAGATATGTCCTACTATGGGCAAAAAATAGTAAGACTTTCGAAGTTAAATTTTGCGCGAAAACCCATTCGTCGAAATATTTTTTTCTATGTTGGTATGACTGTCAGTGACATCTGTGCTAAGTGTCACATCTAAAAGGAAAAGGCCTTCCGTGATAATTGTTTGTCGCGATCAAGTGTTTTCAATCAGTACAATTATTCAAAGACGGTCGAGAACGCGTCGATGACGAACCACGTCTACGACGGCCATCGACATCAACTGATGGTCAATATAGGAATTGCTGTTTGAGAATCGACGATTAACAGTCATACATTTTACTGGCATCCTTGGAATATTGGAAGGATCAGTGAAAACCATTTTGAAAGAAATACGAAAAGTTAATGCACGAGTGATTCCAAAAACACAAAATATTCGCGTTAAGGTCTGTGAAATAATGCTGTCCGACTATCAGGATGTCATGAAACGTATTATTACTGGCGATGAGTCTTAGATCTATGCTTGCAACCCGGAAAGATACGATCGTCGGCCGAATATCGTGGCAAAGGTGAACCGAAGCCGAAAAAACTTTTAACGTGATGAAAAATCAAGGTTATGTTGACAGTATTCTTTGATTATCGAGCTGTGGGGCACTCCGAATTTCTTCCGACTGGCAAAGGTGCCGAATTTCATGAAGATATCTCGTCAAGTAAAAAAGTTTTCTATATAAAAACTTGATTTTGATCGTTCAGTTTGCATGGCAATTATAGGGGATAGTGTTTCGATTTGGGAAATTTCCTCATATATTGGAGGTTCGTCCTAGAAAATAGTCCACGCCAGACATATMATTTAAGAAAATTTTCCATGCAAGAGCTTCACTTTGACCGATCAGTTTGTACAGGGATATTTTAGTAGTCCGATATCAGAGGTTCCGACAAATCTTGTATAMAATAACTTTAAAGGCGGAGATCGTGAGCAAAATTTGAGATCGATATCTTAAAACTGAGTAATTATTTCGCATCATCATCACCCGCCAATTTCATGCTACAAACTTAATCTACAATGCTCCAGATACAAAAAAAAAAAAAATTATTTTTATGGTTACTAATTACTGTTTTATTATTGCTTAATACAAAAAAATAATTATGTATGATTTTACTAAATATTTTTTATATCAGATTACATAAGGTCATTTTTATGTCTCTAACAATAATCTGCTAGCATTCGTGAGAGCGCTTCTCCATTGACGAAATATTCTGATTAAACCTGATTAATTACAACACCCAAATTGCTTGATATATTTTCAGATGAGGGCCAACAGTTTGCATTTTTAGGGAAAAAGTTTTCTATGGCATTTTAAGTTCAAGCCTTTTTAATTTTCCTTTATGTTGTCCTAGAAAGGTCTCTTTTTTATGAACATTCAATTTTAGATATACAATTCCACTGCAATCTATAGGTATAGCTTTTAATAAATATACCGTCGGTATCGTTAGAGGACTTTCGAGTCATGTTTACGATGTAACAGACGTATACAAGTGTCCATCAAGAGGATGATGTGAAGTATGTTTGTTTAGAGAATTGTGTCCAATTGTCCAAGATTGTCCAAAATTATTACGCAAATTCACGTTGCCGAAAAAAACATTAAGAAAACGTTCATCGAAAAACCAATTTCTCAGATGAGACTTAAAGGCTTTTTTTGTTTTTTGTTTTTATTTTTTTTAATTTTAATTTTGCCATCAGGTCATTAATGCTTGTGGATCGTTTTATAATGTAAGTTAATCGAATGCAATAGTTATACAGTCATATAAATGAAGTCATGTAAAAAAGGCTCGTATAAATGTGTAGCTGTTGCATAAAACCGGATGTTATTATATATTGTTAAAGAAAATCATGAAGTAAAAGAAAGAAAAAAATAATATTTAGCAGCTTATTAAGCAACAAAAGAGTTCGTGTGTAAACCCAGACTAAGCAAATATGAATAGTGTAGAGAACCGTTGGGAGACTTGCTTTGCTTTGGGGAAGTTCGGCTAATTTGTAAACGTTAAGAAGAACTGGAGTTAGATGTTAGCTTTATTAACATTATAAAAATCGTTATGGAAAATGATAAGAAAATAGGTAATTTATTAATTAGTTTATTTTAAAGCCGAAGTAACTAACCCGAAAGCTACCCTATGTGCGCTTATATAATTATGTACACAGAGTTTATGTTGAAGTCGATTAGGCTTTCCCTTTAAGGCACGCCTTTGTTTATTCATTTCAAACATCGCTCAGGCATCGCTCAAAAAACTGGCTTTTATGTATATGGTTTCGATGAGACCTTCAAATTTTCGAATGGTGATAAGCAGCTGCAGTTTATTCGCATGTAAACAACTAGTAGAAGTGACGAGAATTAGTCTAATTTCAAAAAGTCGTCTGTGGAGACCGGTTTTCACTCAGCCGTAAGGTACGGAAATGGATTTTGAATCTCTAATTTGGTTTACTCCTGTCTCTTATACACATCTATGGAGACCGGTTTTCACTCAGCCGTAAGGTACGGAAATGGATTTTGAATCTCTAATTTGGTTTACTCTACTACTAACTTTAATGGCGTTTGCAATATTCGCCTATTGGTATTGGTATATATGGCGGCCAAATGAAGTCGTACGCAATGGTAAATGTTTGAAATAGCGAAGCATAACCTTTAGTTTCAATTTCATTCCGTGTTTGTTTTAGTGAAACGAAAATCAGCAGCGCAGTGTGATGAAAACGAAGGAGTATACAACGAATTATTGTGCAATTGAACTGTTTTTCATTAAAGTTAATAATTTATAAGACATATTAGTAAGACTTCTGACGAAAAGGCGTACTTTTTCCACTTTATGCTTTACCATATAATAAAATAAAAGAAAACAAGAAAAATCGTTAACTTTGACTGCACCAAAACTACAGAATACCCTCCAAAATACAAAAAAATTCAGCAAGCACTTGTTTCCGATCGTTCATTGCGATATGGGTGGTTTTGATACATGAACAGCTTCTTGGCTGGGGAAGGACGGATACAAAATTTCTGATCGAAATCTCAACAACTAATGAAGGAGAAATCAATGGAGAAATCAATGCCAGGAAAATAACTTAAACTGTAAAATGTCAACCAATGAATTTTATTTATACATTTTATAACATATAACTCATAGACTGACCGAACTAATCGGCACTAGATTTGTTAGAAAAAWGAAATTATATGTAGTATATGCGAGTGGGGGGTAGTATCAAACTGATTTTATCTATTTTTACTCATCCCACATACTTTTAATATGCCACATACTCAAAAAATTGTGTCTGGGTTTCATTAAGGGACCTTACATACAATCACTAATCATAGGGATCAAAGATAAATGGAGTTCGAAAATCCTCTCAATAGTTATATGGGGGTAGGTCAAGTTTTCGCCCAATTAGGACTATTTTATGCATAAAGATATACTGTAATTAGTAAAACACGCTCTCTTTTTTGATTAGGATAACTCATATATTAACCGATATATGCAACATAAAGTCACCTAGAAGTTCGAACATTTTTAATATTAAGTATATGGGGGCTAAGAGAAGTAGTGGTCCGATACAACCCATTTTCGACGTACAGCCAAACCATTGTCAGAGAAGGATTATCTCGTAATTTCAGTTATATATATCACACATTGACCGACATTTTCGATCCAAGGTCAACTATAGGTACCGGGGTCTAAATATTCGGTACCTATGGGCAGGAACTGTTATTATTGGATTTAAACAATTTTTGCTCATAAGGTGGCACACATTAAAGACATTATTCGTGCAAAGTTTTATCCCGTTATATTAATTGCTTCTTGATGTGTACTGCAAAGTAAAATTATCAAGTGGAATTTAAAATTGTGCCATATGAGAAGTAGGCGTGGTTGTTGTCTGATTTCGTCTAGTTTCCGTAAGTRATATAAAAATGTGAGAAGAATGCCAACCACTAAATTTGCTCGAAATCGGTTTGGTGATACATACAACCGTTAGTTGAACAAAACTAGAAAAATTATCGTGACAAACTTAATATACCCTGTTCAAGGTATAAAAGCACTGAAGTTGCGAGCGCCGAGCGCAGCCTGCTGGCAAATGATAAATACATAAATACAATAGAGGGAAGTCTTAGTAATTTTACTGAAATAATTATTGCTCATACAAATCACACATATTCACACAAAGAATAAAAAACAGAAAACATTACGATATTATAATATTGCGCCACGAGGCGTGATAAGAATTAGTGCAAAATCAATCGGCGCGAACACAATTTTAYTAAATTATTCATAATTCGATGCCAATGCTGGCCTCAGTTTTTCTTCAATTTTCATGCTGTGCACATGCCTTTCTCGCTATAATTGTAAAATCGTAAAAAAAAATGTTGGCGCTGCTCAAAATTGGAATTGTCACTTTTTTGGTAATCAGTTGCGTATTGGTAACGGTAACAGCCGAACAACTGCACAACTCAAGATGCAAGAATAATGTCTGCAACTGCAGCTTCGGTACTCAGGAGGCAGTTTTGGGTGGCGTTAAGTACTGCCTTAGYCACTGCCCAAAAAACGCAGTTCGGTTATCGTTTCGGATATGTGAATGCCGGAATGGATATCAGTACATTRACGAGCAACGAACAAAGTGTGTGCGAACGAATGAGCTTGTGGGGGATCAGGAGATCGATAGCGTCGATGAAGTTGCCGACACATCAAGTAGTACGGCCGCCAGCACTACATCAAGGATAACTACCAACAAAGCGATAATTGGTGATACTGACACTACAGGGAACTCATACAATTATATGACGACCATTGAAACTATTTCAACCAGTGTAGCTACAAATACAACTAATCGGGGAGAAAATTTGAATGTGAACAGTGTTGGTGATATTGAAGATATATATATCTGGATTGGTGCGCTASTAATGGCCTTGGTTTTGTTAGTGTTGCTCGCCTTTATATTTATCTCACGCAAGTGATTTGCATTAGCAAGACATTATTGTCCACTTTACAATTTAATTGTTAGAAATGATTATTCTCTCGCTTAGTTCGCTCAACAAATCAACTTATTTATTTGAGCATCAACCGCCACATTTCTTCACAATACACACGCTCGCCACTACATATTGACGCACTCATAGCTTATGTTTCTTAGAGACAATTAAAAATAAAATATAATTCTAAGTAAAGGAATTTATAAAAAGGTTGCCATTAAATAAATTCGTATCATATAAAATTATATACTATAAATAAGAATTTTATATTTTACGGATATAATTATTTCTGTGACGATTTTATTATTATTATAATAATAATGATTTGTAACAAAAATAAGTAAAAATACCGTAACCGCGTCTTTTTGCAGTAATTATAGTCATATGTCAGCAATAAAGCACCTAATGTAATTTAATTTTGAAGATTTTCTCTTTCAAATGTTGTCAGAGACGTAGCCTCAGATGGCTCATCCGTTGAGCTCAATTTTCGTTCCAGAATTTCGACTGACAACTGGCGAATGAAACGATCTACACATGCTTTAGATTTTATGTATCCTCACAGGAAAAGATCTAACGGTGTGATGTGATATGGTCTTGATGATGAATCGACCGGCCAAAAACATGAAATAATCTGCTCACCGAAGTGTTTTCTCAATAAATCCATTGATTGATGCGATGTGTGGGAAGCGGCGCCATCTTGTTGAAACAAAATGTCGCCGAGATCAAAGGCATCAAAAATCGGTTAACTTAGAGCGATAGGAGACGCCATTGACGGTTACGCTCTCATCGGCATCATTTTTATAGAAATATGGGTCGATCGAATCACAAACGATTTTTTTTTTCTGGATGAAATGGCAGCTCTTTATTTGCGACTATTTTGCTTACTTACATGCCCATTGAGCCMGAAGTAGGTCCCTCGCTGAACAGAACTTGGCTCTTGGAACTTTTCAAGAACCCATACAGCCAAGCGATGTTGCCTGGGAAAGTTGAGCGGCGTTGTTGCCGCGAACGGCATCGAATCGACTTTCCACCTGTATTTGTGTACACTCTCAGCTACGGCTGCTATAGTTTCTTTGCTGTATGCTGAATGTCGTCTATTCGGTCGAATTTTATTCAATAATGAATGCTATGTCTCAAGATGGATGGGTTTTTAATAGTGCGCTCAATAGGCCGGTTATATCGATCATAAGTAGAGCGGAGCGAGTGAAATACATTCTATAAGGAACGTGAATTTTAATAAAAAAGGTGAGAGATTTTTAAATGTTGTTCAGGCGTAAATATTTCCATGATGAAWTGTCAAACAATACTGACAAATACATAACTTGACTGCTTGACGCGAATCCCGCGTGACCTGTCAAAGAAAGACAATTGAATTGAGGATGTAACATTATCTCTACAGTGGCTTGTAGATTATTCATAAATTCAAATACGAAAATTTGTGTACTAACGAATCCGTTCTACCAAACGTGAGCTTCATTTTTCTTGTGAAAACCAAACCGAATCTCATCATTATTTCAGTAATAAATTTGCACGAATCGCAGCCGTTGTTTTGGAGTAAGTTTTCTCATTATAAAATGGCAGACAAAACTGGGTATAAATCTGGTAATAACTGTTAAAGGCACAAAATTTAAAAATAGTATTGTCTCAATGAAAACTACACGTCTAAAAAATACCCTTTATTTACTACTATATATTTGGTTGAGAATGGAAATGAAAAGGCGAACCGCCCATTTCTACCATACCCAATGACAAGAAAAAAGATAAACGACCGGAGGCATATTATAGATAAATACCATAAGAGAAATGAGAATTATTTACAACAATTGAAAGAAAAGCAGCTTCAGTATGCCGCAGGACTTGAAGAGCAACGCATAATTGCTGACAGCCAACGCACGCGAAATCCAATACAAGCTTARAAGATAGTTCAAATGCGCTACTTTAAAGAATTMTTATTWTTKCTGAGTGCAACGTTTATTTGCTATCCCGCGTTTGTCAACATGCATGTTGCGATAAAGGTTGGCAATTTCGAAACGGATCTTGGACATTTCGAGACTAGTGAAAAATCAGACGCAGGCATTGCATGTAAACTAAGCTTCATAAATCTGCTTTCAGTCAAACACTAATATTACATAAATCTCTCTTAGCAGCTGAATTCGACATTTTAATGCCGCGGATTGACTATACCGAGGGAGTTACTGCTTTTGCCGATGTCACGATCGCAGCGCTGCAGGAAAATGAGAGCGTTGAAGTGTCCAGCAAGCAGGCGCCAAATTGTTGGCAAACTTTAGATGCAGTTATCTTCCCGCTCGGAATATTTGTCGTGCTAATGCTGATGTTACTCTTCGCTCATCGTCTCTGATGCGAATGGAAGTGGGAAGGTGAGCATACACTAAGCCTAAGGCAATGGTAAAATGTCAAAGAAATTGTTCATAATCAGAGTTCATAAGTTCTTGTTAGACATTTCCTGTATTTATGAAGGTATTATTGCCTCAGTGCAACCGAAGTATTTTCTTGTTTATTGTTTTTAATTTAATGAAAATTTGTATTGCTTTTATTTTTAGCTGGAAAACCTCGATTTTTCTGCAGCCCGCCATATTCATCGATTCATGTCACATATTGTTCCACTAAACCGCTGCTTAGTACATATTATTACTTTTGGTAATAAAATAAGTAATAAGTTAGTAATTACAACTACAACAAATTGCAATATTTTTTAGATACAATAAAAAATAATTTTCAAAACTCATTCATTGTAATACTTTTTAAYTTTAACCGCAATCTAAGGCAACCCTGGCTGCCGCAGACTATATTCTTCAACTTTTTGCGCATGCTAAGTTCTTCGCTATCGGCCGGTAGTGCCGCTGACATCGCSCACATCAGCGCTGTATGCAGAGTGCATATTGAAAAGTACGATTTTGCACTTTTTATTGTTTTTATTGCTATGGAGGAMCGCCTGTGCGTATGATTAACTTATATCTGATAAAATACTTTCTAAAAAATTGAAAATGCTTTTATAATGAGATAGCAAAATGCTTGAGCTTAAGTATGTTGGAAATGTTGTATATTAATTATTAGTTTCAACGCATTCAGGGATGGGAGAGCTGTGCTTCGGGTGTCAAAAAAAAAATCCAAAATTTCAATTCAAATACAGCAGAATTTACCACGCATCATCAATACTAAAAATACGTTGAAAGGACTGTAATTTATTCTCCTTTAAGTTTTTTATTTAGAATTTTTCAATTTACTGTTAATRTAAGTGCACAATATGGTATAATACTTGTTAATAAAGTGCATATAAATAAAAATACATACGCTTAAACACAGGTGTATTTTTCAGCTTGTCGATATGCAAAAGAGATCTTTCTGTAACATCATAATATGCCCCAGTCTTAACATAAATGATTACTTTAAAATTTTCTCATTAATGATCTACTATAAAGCCGCTGACGATATCTTGCTACTCAAACATACAYAGCCAACATGAACGCAGCGAATATTAAGCCATCAATAGTCATGCGTAAAGGTTGTACAGCGCCGCCAGTTTTCGGAGAGTAAATAGAACTGTGCTCGTAGCAAGTATATATTTTCGGTGCAACAGAGCCTTTGTATTCAATTCGTTTGCCTGATTCTATGCAACGAGAAAATTGCGGTTCCAGGCAATTACTTTCCTTTGACCCACAAATTTCGAAGCAATCAGCGCTAGAACTTTCCTTCCAACAATCACACRTGTGTGTGCACTCATCCAAGTCGATTGGCTGCAATAGAGCGTCCATTTCGTCCCCAATAGTAGTGCCACTCAATAGCTCAACTTCCTTAGTGGCGTTGAGCCGCACAAAGCTTTCAGTGGTGGTAAATATTGCTGTGGTCGTTTCAATTGTACTTGCTGTAGTATCGTCTATTGTAGCCACTGTGGTCATATCACTCGCAGTGATGGCCGTACATTCGGATGTGTCTTCAATAACTGACAATTCCGCGCCCTCGGGACAGACGCATTTCGCTGGTGCTGCGCAGTRGCCACCTTTGCAGCCTGTGCAGTACGGCGCGCAGATGTGCAGCTGTGTTGTGTTTGATGATCGCACATAACCTTCGTTACAGCTGCACTGATCGGGCGCAATGCAAACACCATTTACACACTCCGGCCAACACATGGGCGTACATTTGTTAGAAATGCCCTCACCAGCCATAGGTTTATACTTCTCTCGACAGAGACACAGCTCCGGCGCAACGCAGTCTGCATTGATGCAAGGTTTACTACAAATGGGTTCGCATTTATCAGAATCGTCTGCAGATAGTTGATAGCCGTCATTACATGCGCAAACTTCGACGTCAACACAGCGCCCATTCAGACATCCCTTAGTGCAAGTGGGTTCGCACACACCTTGCGCRCCCATCAGGTAGCCTGGCTGACAGATGCACATTTCGGGTCCCACGCAATCGCCATGCGCGCAACCGTTGGAGCAGACCGGTTGACAGTAGAGCTCTTGAGGATCTGTGGTGGCGTTTGTGCTGCTTACATGCTCATAGCCGGGAAAGCATTCACATACGTCCGGYGCCACACATTTTCCATTCAGTTCGCAATTCTGCGTGCATTGTGCTTGACAGTATTGACGTTGTTGGGGCGGATGAAGCAATTCGTAACCTGACGCGCATTCGCACACATTAGGACTAACGCAACTGGCATGCYGTGGGCATTGATCTACACACACTGCCACACATTCGCCRCTACTACTCATCTGCGTCTCTTCGTCTGCGGTCARCGTAGTGTAACCCTCCRAACAACGGCACTCCTCTGGCGCAAAGCACTCACTGTTCGCGGGACAGCCAACACTGCAGACAGGAAAACACAACTCGCCGCTGCTTACGGTGGTCTCATCTACTTCACCTGTGGCGTTCGAATGTAGTTTATAGCCAGTACGACAAGCGCATTGATTAGGCGATTGGCAGTACATATTCAAGCCGCAACCGTATTGGCACTCTGGCACACATTCCTTTAAGTCTTCATTGAATTTATAACCCTCCACGCARMTACAAGTATCTGGCGCTGTACAAATGGCATATGCAGGACAGCGTTCCTGGCAGATAGGTTCACATATGCCATCCGAGCGTCTTTCATATCCCGAATTGCATGTGCAAGTCTCGGGTTGYGTACAAGTACTATGCGACTGACAGCCTGCAGTGCACTTCGGCTCGCAGATAATGTCTCTAGGAATAGACGTSTTGGAAGTGTAACCATAATCGCAGGTGCATTTGTTGACATCGGTGCAYCGACTGTTGGCCGGGCAGTTAGGCGCGCAAGCGGACACGCATTGGTTGTTCCTCATAACGTAACCAGCACAGCAATACCTTTCAGTTCTTGTTACATATTTATACTAGAAGTATAAGAAATTATAATTATTATATAGTTTACATATGGAAAGTCTCTTAAAATCAATGATGAGTAAAAAAAAAAATCATGAAAAACCATATATACGAATATATGGTATATACATATATATACAATGTTTAACGGCTGTTTAGCCGTTAGTCTTCTTTGAACAGACTCTRTGGCCTCCCTCGCAAAAGTATTGTGTTATGTGGATTTTTTAGCTTTGATGCTCGCTTTCGACCCTACTGACGTGCGAGGCCCCTCAATATCGTTTTGCCTACTTCTTTTACTGAATGCCACAGGATAACAATGCTCGAGGCTCACATCAAAAAGCTYCCAATAAACTGTGTCAGTTGCGTCACAATTGTTTTTTTTTTTTCAGTCTTTCACTAATTTCAAATTTACAAAAYTTTATGAAATATTATTGATTTTACTTCACTGTGCTTTCCATGATACATTCCATCGGTTAATATTGAATTACATTATATTTACTTACTTTGTAATCAAAAGTGGTTGCATATCTGGTTCTTTGCACAGTGAGTCCTAACCAATTCAAAGTTAAATAAGTTTGTATATACTGYCTAGGTTCATTATAATATGCTTTATCTCTTCGCATTTTGGTGCACCATTGACTGGTAGTCAAATTTATGACGGTTAAAAGAACACTCAACGAAATAAGTATATTTAAAAGCATCCTGCTCTGAAGCTCCTTCATCTATCTTTGTTTCGTTCAGCAATAAATCAGCTCAAATTCACAAAGTGAACTGAATTTAATTAAAACAAAACGATTGATTGAAGTAATGCTTTGGGAAACTTAAAAACGCAAATATGTAATCTTTTCTGAATTCCATAATTGAATTTGTTGAAATTATATTTGTATTGTGTCATATTAATATGTGTATGAGTATAACATACATATAAAATATATAAAATTTTATCGCTAGCATGAATTGAATTACACCATTCATTCCATATCCAACTTAAAATGATGTAAGCCAGCGCTAAGTTCTAGCGGAAACGAAAACTATTGATATAGGAAAGTATTCGAAACTATATTACAATACATGTCAATAGTGAAATAGCTAAATACGAAGATAGCGACAAGGATATCTTTGCTAGGWATCCGAAATATCTGCCTCAAAGTCAATTTTACCAACAAAATTAGTAAATTAATCATATTGAGTCAAAGATATGCAATCAATCAACTTTCTTCAATTCAGTTACGAAAAAGTATAATCTTGGCTCTGTAGTCTTCTCAATGGACTGAAACCTTATGAGCAGCCGTAATGCCCTTTGTCCATAGAGCACACTAAACAGTGCGTTTTTTGGATTTAACAGTGTCTCTTGCAAATAGCTTGTTGATTATTGTCCCGCCAAATGCAACAATTTTGTTTATTAACGTACSCAAAAGTGTGTTTCWTCGYTGAACAAAATTTTTTRCGAAAATCGGAGTCGTGGCCATCWMGCTTTGGGAGCATTAACYGAAGGTGCTACGSGCTATTCATTATGAAAAAGCAARCATATAAAACAACTAACGGCTGTCAAAAAGAAAACTTCGAAGCGAGAATTGTCAAACTAAAAGTCTGAAGAAACACCCGTTATTTATGAGAAGGCAATAAGAAGAGAATGTTGTAAAATTCCGCATTAGTGCATACTTTACATTGATCACATTCTAACGTCTCACATATAGAGATTTAAGCAAGCCCAAGCTAGTTGATAATATTTGTATAATATTTGTATAGTGTACATATATGTACATATGTTTAAAAGTCTGCTTAGCTGACGGCAGTGGTATGCGCCCATTTCATAATACTAATCTAATACAGTGCAGAGCTAACAATGATTCATGAGGAATGATTATAATATTTTGGATCCTAAGATGTTTAGAAAAATTTTTATACCCTCGCACCATACTACACAGAGTATAAAAGATGTTTGTTCATCTAAGGATTATTTTTGGTGACACATGGAATTATTCGAGATTGATATGTTTACCATTTGTGTTATATACGTATGTGTGTACCGAAACGATGAAAATTAGTTCCCGGATATTAGTCTATCCATCCGTTCCTTTTACAGTCTCTTCTTTATGGCGATAATTTCAGCGTAATTGCTGCTTGGCTATATTTTAAATATGATTGGTTTGTTGATTGCAAAGAGATATCCAGCATATCGGTGGTGGGTCTAAACACAGTAATATAACTATGAGAAATACCTTTTTGAAAGGGTAGGCACTGCTCCGCCAATATATCTCAAGCGATTTGAGATATTTAGCCTATCGTGAGTGGTCTTACCTGTCAATATCCAGGTCCATCCAACGCATATATGTWATGATCGAAAACTATCGGTAATTCACTATTGTAAGGTATCATAACAATCCAAATCTGAACAAGTACTCGACCAATATTWACTAAACTTGGACCATAACAATTGTTTGACATCAGTATGTTACAGTGCAAAACGATGCATCCTCCGACATAACACCGCTATAMATTTTTACAGAATGTATACACTTTAATACTTCAGCTGAATGAAACATTAGTGAAGATATCGAAATAAAATAAATTACAAAAAGTGGTTAAATGTGTTTTGAGAGTTGGAAATCTTTAGTGGGCGAAACCCAACCGCACATTTTGGAGAGCCATATTTTGCTCAATGCCCTATGAGGTTAGCTCTCAGCTTGCTGACACTTAGCCGACTGGTTATTAGTTGGTTGGCGCCATGATTTTTGCACGGCTGCTACTCCTTTGACCTCCATCTTGACTTCGTTTGATCCTTAGCTTGACTTCGCTTGACTCCTAACTTGTCCCAGGTTGACTAATCGGTTGATCCAGCTTGATATTGCCTGAGTTCTAGCTTGATCGCTAACATGARCTTGCTTGAAATCATTCATGAACTTCTTTGAACATTTGGCCATGCTTAGGTGTCCACAATAACAGTTTTAAGTTTGTAAAGTGTACACACGCTCTCTAAGTATGGATAATATCCATTAGGGTTCAAAATGCGCTTATGTTTATATATTGTAAATAATACCGCGGTGTAGTAGCAGCCTACCTTTTTATGAGCTTTAACTGTGCATTAAGCTCTGAATGTATTATTATATTAACTATTTAATTTCATGTTGATCTTGTGACACTAAAACTAGCTTAGCTAGCTTCTTAGTCACTTCGCCTTCGCGCATTATCGACGCTTGTTTACATGTTTTTTTTTCCAAAAGTGATAAATGGCACCCAGAAAAAGTAGTTCTCGTCTTTTTATAAAACTTATATGTATACTTAAAAAATATGTWTATTAGGGCGGGTCGATTTACAGGGATCCCAAAAAATAAATAAAATGTCACGAATGCGGGAAATGTTCAACGGTTACTTTTTGTTTAAATGATGGCGCACCCTAGCGAGACAATACAATACACCACCGCCGATGACACTATAACACAACACCAACCCAACTTCCCACACCTGAACAACCCATTCAACAAAAAGGACGGACAACGGGATGTCCGATTCTTAGTTATACATTGTTACACGCATCCGGGCTTGCATTCGTTCGACACAATTCGTTCTAAACAATCGGTCTGCACAACATTGGTTCCCGGTTATACATTGCGCTGCGTCGACATATAATTCAATTGGCCTTTTGTTAGACTTCGTCACAACCCGGTTCCTGTGAGCAGCTTTCGTTCATTATATAAAATTCAACAACAATTTCGCACTGTGATTATTTAAACCATCACAGTTCCTTCCATTTAATTAAAATTGCATTGTATTCTAAATATCGGGCCACTGCCGCGCCCATTGCCATAATGGGACCAATGGAAAATTTTTTTGAAAAGTGGGCGTGGCCCCGCACTCCTTATCTCCTAGCTACAACAACTAAATTTGTGAGTACAAATTTTATAAAGGCTTCTACCGACAGTGTGAAAATGGATAAAATCRGAGTTGAACCCCTYTCAYTCCCCTTTCAACGATACTGTTAAAAACTACTAAARCCGTGAAAAATCATTAATTACGCCAGGGACATTATTTTTACCAYCGAGATGGTATAAGAGAGCTTTATGGGACCCGATGTGAAAATTGAACGCTCAGCGTGGCACCGAGCACTTTTGGTGAAATCCCATGTCTCAGAACCCGAACAATCAATTTGAACAAAATTTAGTAGTTAGCATCCTTTTTACATTTTTATGTCACATTGAAAATGGACGAAAGCGGAAAACAACCACGCCTACTACCCATAACGTACTATTTTAAATTCCACTTGATTCTCTTACTCTCCAGTATACAAACCAAGAAACAATTAATATAAMGGGATAAAACTTTGCATGAATAATGTCTTTASTGTGTGCCTCCTTATGAYCATAAATTGKTTAAATCCAAYAAAAACTGTTCAAACCCCTAGGTGCCGAATATTTAGACCCCGGGACACATAGTTGACTTTTGATCGAAAATTTCGGTCAATGTGTGATAAGTATAACTGAAATTAACGGATATTCCTTCTCTTACTCTATGTCAAAWATGAGTTGAATCKGACAAGTGCTTTTTTTAGCTAACGTATACCTAATATAAAGWTTTTCGAAATTCCGGGTTGSTTTGTGCCSCATATATCGGCCAATRTGTCAGTTATSTCAATGRAAATAAGAGAGCTTGTTTTACACTTAACAGTGGACCTTTATGCCTAAATTAGATACGTTTGAGCGAAAACTTGACCTAGCCCCGTTATAACTTATATCCGGATTTTCGAACATCCGGTTGACTTTACTCTGTATGATTGGTTTTATACCTTAACGTATTTCCCTGGCTTGATTCTTAAACGTTGCAAGAGTATAAATGTTCGATTGCACTCAAACTTAGCCCTTCCTTATTTGTATATTTTGTAAATATCAAATTACTTTAGAATATAGTTACACAATAAAATACTTTTAAATAAAATTCATTTACGTGTAGCCTGAACACAGCTGATGATATAAGTTAGGTCGATATTACAGCTTAACATAATTGATTGGTGTGCTTTAACTCATTTATGATYTAATACAKAGCCGATGACGRTGTCTTCATACTCAAACATACACAGCCAACATGAACGCAGCGAATATTAAGCCATCAAYAGTCATGCGTRAAGGTTGTACAGCGCCGCCAGTTTTCGGAGAGTAAATAGAACTRTGCTCGTAGCAAGTWTATATTTTCGGTGCAACAGAGYCTTTGTATTCAATTCGTTTGCCTGATTCTATGCAACGAGAAAATTGYGGTYCCAGGCAATTACTTTCCTTTGACCCACAAATTTCGAAGCAATCAGCGCTAGAACTTTCCTTCCRRCAATCACACRTGTSKGTGCACTCATCCAAGTCGATTGGCTGCAATAGAGCGTCCATTTCGTCCCCAATAGYAGTGCCACTTAACAGCTCAACTTTTTTAGTGGCGTTGATAAGTTGAAGWCAAATTACAAATACGAAAAGACTTTTTCGACTGCGCAATATTTTTCGAAAAAAAAGTACGCGGCTCCCAGCTTCATGAMATTCAGAGCGAATTTTTAGTTTAATAAATATTTAAACACATAAAAGAACATTTTTCAGCAGGCGGTTTGGTACTTTAAATGGGCGTGCTACCGTCCATTTTTATATACATAAAATATCAGTATTTCATAAATTATTAATCATAAATAATACAGTTGTAATCTATGCTTTATGTTTTCAAACCTTTAGCTGTGTTGCTGTGATTTGCGTTTGCCACTAACTTCTGCTTTGCAGTTTCCAGTGCCATATCRCCACTTTCATTTGCTGATATAATGCATACATACTCTTCTAAAAATACCACAACATCTTCCAATTATGCCTGCAAGCACTTTATCTATGTTAGCAAATGAATATTCAATGCCAAACTCCTCCCGATATCGTGTGGTTAAACTAGAATTCCACTTTCCTTGAGTTCTGCCATTGACCTCTTCGCATTTATCACACTTATGACACAATAAAGCTTAACAGAAAATTGTTAAGATGACTCTGTCAAGTGTCGATATGATGGTAAGTGCCATATAATAAATAAAAGTCTTACCATGAGTCAAAAATAGTTATGCAGCTTTATACTTAATAGTAAAAATAGTTGCAATGAAACCGATAACTGTCTTGCGATTTTCGCTGTCGAAGACACAGCAATATTACACATGTCACTTTATAAATGTTTTTGATATATGTATGCGTTGTCAAAGGAGCACTGCTCTGTTGTTTTCCGAGTTCATTGATTTTTGCGCTCTATTGGCCTCTGCGGCAGCAGATTGTCGCTTTTTTGTTTTTACAACACTCTTTTATTTAAGCGACGCTTCTTCGCGTAGATAAGCCGATAATGATAGCCTACCAACAGTGCTGTGCGCCTACAAATGGCAATCAATAATTTCTTTAATTTAACAGATTTGTTCATTCCGGCGACGAGTGCCGACGCGGAAGGCGGTTGATCAGCTCAACAAGCAAGCAAGTGCAAGGAAATCGCCTTGGAACCAACGAGATCACAGCGATTTGTGCAATTTAGTGTTATTTCTGTGCAAATAACGTAACGTACGTAATTTCTTGGCTCTTGTGATCATTACTKTTAAGTGAAAGAAAACAATGAGGCCTCATATGAATTACCAGCTTCTTGTAAGCCTTCTGCTGCTGGCAACTTGTGCAACTGCATGTGTCGTAAAAGTGCCGTAAGTTTGTCTTCAACAAAGAGTAACTATATACATACATAAAATTATAAAAATTAAATAACGAAAGTAGCTTATTTCGACATACAATTAACACTATACTGACGGTCACTATAATTTCGAATTAAAGGCTCGCGCCAAGAAATCCACATCATATTCAACAATAAATTTTGGAATACTATTCGTTAATTATTTAATTGTGGACCTGTATGACAGAAATAATCAAGAAAAAAGTAAAAACGTTAACTTCGGTTGCAGCGCAGTTATACACTTCAGAAATTCTAAAGGTTCCTTACGAGAACTTTGATCGGTCAATTTGTAGCTGTAGCTGTAATGAACAWCTTTTTGGCTTGGAAAGGACGGATCCGAAATTTCAGATCGATATCTGAAGCACTAGTTCTATATGTACATATAAACGGAAATACTGACGGACATTAGTTAACCATATCATTTACGTAGATATTTCAAAGGGCCTCTGACGACTCCTTTAGGMTGTTGGAAACACCGTAGTTAACTTAATGTAATCTGTTCAGTGCACTGTTTACAGGTAGTTCTCTTGGGGTTTATTTGATTTAATTGAGCTTGTTTTACGACGCGTTTCTTCTGCTATTTTCGAAACCCTGTAAGATCTAAAAAAAATTAATACTCATACCCACTTTTTKTCAACCACAGAACGCCCAAAACTCGTGTGTCACTTGTGACCATGCGCAAATATCCGGTGGATGTGAAGTGTACAAATTGTACGCCGACTCAGAACCCCTTGGTACTACGCACAGTCAAAGAGGTGAACGCATGAATAAACAAAAATTATGCAAAATCTTTATTACCAACTCGTATTTTCTCCGATTATAGACGTACACGGACACAGAAGAGGTTTGCTGCGAAGGTTATGTTAGGAACGCAAAAACCGGGTAAGTTTTTAAGGAGTGAATTCCTTTTTGTACACAAYAAAAACTCTCTTCTCGCACATAGAGATTGTCTGCCGAACTGCGTGGACTGTAAGGGAGGTAAATGCGTCCGTCCTGATGTATGCCTCTGTGCCGAAGGCTACAACAACYTGAAGAATAGCACCGTCTGTGAGCCGGAATGCAGTGAGCCCTGCATCAATGGGCAATGCGTTGAGCCGGAGAAGTGTAGCTGCAATGAGGGCTATAATTTCATCAATGGCAGTGTCACAGAATGCGAGACCCGGTGTTTGACGGATTGCACCAATGGCCGTTGTGATGCCTCATATAAATGTACGTGCAATTTCGGCTATGAGCGYAACGAGTTGCTGGGTGTGTGCACGCCTATCTGTGAAGAGCCCTGTGAGAATGGTGTTTGTAAAGCGCCCAATGAGTGTCACTGCCTTAACGGTTACGAGTTACGACTGGGCACCTTGGGTAAGTGTGAACCGGTTTGTCCAGGTGGCTGCCCCAATGGCTATTGCATCGCACCGAACGTTTGCAAATGCCAGGAGGGCAGCTATAACTTAATCGGACTTGCCTGTGTGCCCAACTGCATGGAAAAATGCGTGAACGCACACTGCACGGCGCCCAATCAGTGCACGTGTCTGGAGGGTTACATCTATCGCAACGATTCGCGCACCGTGTGCGAGCCAACTTGTGCACGCGGCTGCCTGAATGGTTTCTGTGATGAACCGGGCCACTGTGAGTGTCATCAGGGTTATACACAGGTGGAGCCGCATGTTTGCCAGCCGAATTGCGCAAAGGACTGYATCAATGGAYACTGCAGCGCGCCCGATACGTGCACCTGCAACGAAGGCTACATCCTTAAGAACGGCTCACTTACAGAATGCGAACCACACTGCCCGCGTGGTTGCAAGAACGGTGAATGTGTTAGTCCAGGTGTGTGCAGCTGCTTTCCGGGATACCAATCGCTGCTCTTTTATCTCTGCATACCGGTCTGTAAGCACTCCTGCGTTCATGGCACATGTACCGCACCGGACACCTGTCGCTGTTTCAGCGGTTATCGGCCGAATTCGGAACGGTCCTACGAATGCGAACCAGTTTGTAATTTCGAYTGCGGACATGGACACTGCATTGCACCGGGTATTTGCCAATGCGAGGCAGGTTACACGAAAAAATGGTTGACAGGACGTTGTGAGCCGCATTGTGCACAGAAGTGCATTAACAGCATTTGTGCGGCGGGCGGTGTATGCCGTTGCTATGAGGGTTTCCGTTTACGCAAAGGTTCGAACAACATCTGCGATCCCATTTGTCTGCCGCAGTGYATCAATAGTAATTGTGTGGAGCCGGACATGTGYGAATGCTGGAGTGGCTATTCGGAGACACGTCATCACAATTACTGTGTCGCACATTGTCGGCCGTCGTGTGAGAATGGCAAGTGTGTGGCGCCCAATAAGTGCCAGTGCAGCGATGGCTACCATGTGACGAACTCCAGCGAACCGCACCGTTGTCAGGCGATCTGCAAAGAGACTTGCATTAATGCTGAGTGTCTGCGGCCGGATGAGTGCGTTTGCCTGGAAGGGTATAAGTTCCTCAATGGCAGYCGCACAGAGTGTGCGCCGAGTTGTGAACAAGACTGCGGTCAYGGCARATGTATTGGACCGAACGCTTGCAGTTGTGATCTCGGTTATCGTCTTAMGCTGAGCAATGACACCGATCTGCCGATCTGCGTGGCCTATTGTAACGAATGGAACTGTTTGAATGGAAAATGCGATGTAAACGGTATATGTCAATGCATAGAAGGTATGGTATACAACGAGCGACGTGGCGTATGTGTTTCCGGGTTGGGTGCTATGGAGGAACACATAGCGCTGAGGTAAGTGAGGCAATCTATATCATATATATATATATGTTTTTACGTTTAACATTAAAGTGGCATCTCGGTATCGCGCTGGACTATCGGCACAATGGCATTCTTACTTATCGCCTTATGTGGATTGGCTTTGATATTGGTGTATCGTGAATATGAGCGCAGACGTTTCCGGGAGAAGCACGGCGTGCGGTTGATAGAAAACCCAACGTTCGGCATTGTGATGCCAGGCGCGGGAGAAGAAGATGGCCTMAATGTGCAGGATGGCGAGGAGAGYTGATCGAAGATGTGATACCAAAGAACCTTTTCGTGTATGGTGTATTTGCATTGAAATAGCTTCGGATATGTCAATAAAATTCCCTTTTTAGTTTTAAGAATATTTGTTTTTGAAAATAAATTTACTCTAAAGGCATAAAAATGTGCGTCTTTCGTTTAAAGAGTACCGCAATTAGATACAGATACATAGTACCGAAGAGATCAGATTGATATTGCCTCTAGCGTGCTTTAATTGAGTATATAGAAGACAAAGACATTTCTGATTATAAAATTGTATTTAACACAGTGTAACTGTACTTATATTATGGTACTTATAGCAGTTGTAATACTATTTTCTCACGCTTCTTAACCTAAACTATTTAATTACAAATATGAAGATCATTTAAAAAATTAACGTTGTAATATACACACATAAACAAATCCGCAAGCACTTCTTACTAAGGCACTCGTACAATGTCCACGTTCCGCGACATGTTCTTCAGTCCAATCTGGTTTTCTGTAAGTGGAAAAGTATCGGTTAATAACACAGAATATGCTTACCGGTGGAGCTTAGCYGCTTAACAGTTCTTACCTCTCTTCGCTACATTGTACGTCTTCTCACAACTGAGGCGACAAATCAACAACAACACCAACAGGGCTAGCGGTAAGGAAAGCACTCCGAGTATGATATATAATCGAAAAGATTTCAGATCTCCAGTACTTCCAAGTGTGATGGCAACACAGATATCCTCGTCTTCCTGTAACTGCAGCTCATAACCTTCGTTGCACACGCAGCTCTCCCCGTGACAAGTTCCGTGGATACAACGATGATTGCAATGATACTTTGCTTCAAAAAAGGCATTTGTCTCACTGCTGTCTCCAGACGATTCGCTGCCGTCTCTCCCTTCTCCGCTATCGCCATAGTCATCATCGCTATCGTCGTCACTATCAAAAGTGCTCGCTAATAACGTTGTTGTTAGAATAGAGCCACCAGTACTACTGCTAAATACCGAATCGAAGGGTTTATCATTGCAAATTCCGGGTGCAATGCAATCGCCGTCAACACAACCACCATCACAAACAGGTTCACAACTGTTAAGCGGGGACATCGCAAAACCAAAGTTACACTTGCATGTCTCCGGCGCCACACACGAACCGTTTTGACAATCCATTGAACAAACTGGTTCGCAAACATTTTCTTTATTAAATACATAACCAGCAAGACATTCACATGTATTCGGAGAAACACACTGACCGTTCAGACAGCCATTCAGGCAGACCGCTTTACAAATTCCTATTTCGGTTTTTGCAAATCCTTCTAAACATTCACATTTCTCCGGAGCTACGCARTAACCATTGAAACATCCAGTAGAGCACACGGGTTCACAAATATCCAAAGAATTTATAATATATCC